ACCATATCAGTTGGGCAAACTAGGCGGCGGGAATCAAAATATGGAGGCATCAAAATATTGATTCTAGTGGGCGGAGCTTTGACCATATATGGGCATACGTGCAGACCATCACAGAAACGTCAATTATTCAGCAACCGGCTACAATTTCAAAATAGTTTCTTCACAAAATGAAGAGCAACGTTGAAGCTACCCGCCAGTCACGAAACAATAGCTCTAACCTCTTTGGTTAGTTTAGGAAAGCGTCTTGAAAATAATCAAGATATTGATTCTTCACGGCGGCTAATCCCGGCGAGAATCAATATTTTGATTCCGCAAACAGCTGGCTAATCATTATTTTGATTCTGAAATCAGCTGGTTTATCAATATATTGATTCTGCGAACATACTTTCTGCAGACGTACTTCACCCTTCAAATTGATTTACGAGATGTTTCTTGTGTGCAAATAATGCAAATTCAATAAATTCATGAAGATATTATCAGCACAGGATCGTGTAATTTTTTTCTTGACCTTATTCCCACGGTAGACCAGGGATTTTCAGCACTCACCCTGGCTCCCTGCTCAAAGCTGCAAGCCTTCGAGGGAATGCGTTAAAGGAAATAGTTCACTTTCACGAAATTATTTTTTTTTGCAATGGATTTATGATTTTTTATGTTCAAAATGATCAGCAAAGAAAATAAAACCTATTTATAACAAAAGATTATTTTCTATATTTTGATATAAGAAGAACTTTTCAGTTTCTGTAAGGCACAGGCGATCCAGTATGAAAAGAGCATGGGTTCCGAAAATTCTTCAGAAACTAGAGAAATTATCGCGGCCACCGGCATTTGGGCGATCTGCTGCTGCTGAATGTCCTTATTGATCAGTACGAGAATTTCTCTTGAGTTCTCGTAGATAATTTCACTAGTTTCTGAAGAATTTTCGGGACCCATGCTCTTTTCATACTGGATGCGAATATATGCAAGGCACACATCCTCAACGCAATACACCTTTTTCGGGACGAGAAATAGAATATCTTTGCCTAGGGTGATCGTTGGGCTGTAAAAGCTCCTGATTTATGCTCGTCTCAGCCCAAGCTACGGAACTGCTATTCCAGTTCAAAACCCATGTTAAAAAGTGAACTATTTCCTTTTTAAGGGAGCCGTGCTGACCTTTGTATAGGGGTTGTACCGAGTCGGAGCCGGAACCGAAGCCCGACCATTTTACTCGGAGCCGGAGCAGGAGCTGGAGCCGATTTTTTCCTCCGGAGCCGAAGCCGTCTGACATTTTCACGGCTCCACATCCCTGCTTTGTAGCATTGATTTTGAGTAAAAAAAAAAGTTAACTTATCGTCTTTCACGTGTTCATGAATGTGTTTCTACGCATCTGTATCCCGTCCCATTTCTGTGGAGTACAGTAGGAGATATTTCGCCGAACAATATCCTCAAGCCCGTTGCACAAATTGCACAATTTGAATGAAAATATGATACACGGATGTATTTGCATTCGCAAATAATACGATGATATTCATAACACATTTCACAACGATCCCTGCAATTGCCACACATTTACCATCACAAAGCCTTGTCGTTGACGCTCACACCCCATGCAAAGCAATACTCACTTTTAGGACACGTCTCTAATTCAATATAGCTACGTATTTGCAAAACATGCAGTTAATAATATTTGAAACTGAGACCTAACCAATAAGACATACCGTGGACAGGTAAGAAAAAAACAAATAAACGTCTGGAGAATGACCTCAACGTCTCGATGTTGCCTAATTACAAAGAGCAATTTTCGGTTTCGAATCAAATACATGAAATAAATATAAACAAAATTTGTACAGATACACTCAATATAGGGTTTATGATTAGCACGGCTACCTAAAACATCAATCCTGTCAGGTTGAGCCACTTATGTCCACACCCAAAGCAGGTCGCTTTGGAACACCCCAGTCCCCAAGATCCCATATTACCACCGAAAACGGTCACCAATTGGTCTACTGATCAGCATCTTCAGAACATTCTCGACCGAAACGCTATCAGTCCTGTCTGTGTTTTGGTTCGCTTCATCTGGGCTATGCGCACGTTTTTCTACTCCGGTTCTAGGGACGAGATAGCAGTCATCACGCGCTGCACCAGCTCGTTCTTTGACAGGTTGGTGACACTGTCGTCATCCGGCAGGATAAACACGTGGCGCATTTCACCCTCGGCCCCGCCAGCCACATACACACTTCCTTAAGTCATATTGTTTCTCGCCACGAGATCAAAGTTCAAAAGGTCGTGATGTAGGTAGTCTCCGCCCAGCCCGAGTCAGGTACTCCGCCGGTTGGTCGGGTGCGGCCAGGTCCGCGCAACGCCACCCTACTTCGGTCGACGCTCTGGTTGACAGGGATGGCGTTGTCATACAGTTGCCTGTCGACTGAACAGCGATTCAAGACATTCCTTGGCCCTCTGAAGCCGATCCCCGCAACGACCAGTGTTTGATCCTTGGTTGACCTGCAGCAAACAACAGAACACAATAATTAGGACTTTTGTGGACAATAAATTAGGAAACTATATGTGTTATTATTCCCCTTGTTCAGCAACTATTAATTTTAGAATGTATTCAATAAAAAATTAAATACTTAATGTCACTTAAATTTCCACTGAACGCCACCAGGTGCGCCAACAACTGTCATCTCATGCAGTTATATAAATTCTGCCAAAAAGTAGATCTGAGCCCTGAGGCCAGTTGTACCAACAGAAAAATAGGTGGCTGCTGGATTTTTTTTTTTTTGTCTTAAAGTTACTTCACATACAGAGCATGAACGGTACAGCCCTATCCGTTTACGTGCCCATCATGTTAACGCTCCATATGTGAAGCAGTCTTTAGGCAAAAAAATTCTAGCAGGCAGCTATTTGTGATGATAAAACTGGCCTCTAAAATTAACTTTGGCATGGACAATCCTGAAAATTAACTATCCAGCATTCCCTGGACAGCCGTACATTAGACACAATTTTCTTGAAGATCACGCATAATGTAAATATGGCTTACACCATTCAGCAACTTGCTTTTGTTACACTTAAAGTAAGCATCATTAAATATGTAGCAAAAATGGGCAAAGCAATTACAAGCCAAGCATACATACCTACTATTTAGATAAGGCAAACACGAACATGCACTACGACCTTTCAATCTTAACTCGGAACAAGTCAATAACCTAGTTGCCATTAAAAATTTAAATGCTACAAATTAAAGTTGTAGCAACAATTGGATGAGTGAGACACAAGCAGAGGCTAAAACATCCAAATTATGTAAAATACTGGACATGCACTGCCCCCATTTCATGAGTCCACCCAACAATTCTATCATGTGAGACAAAACATTAGGCTTCTTGTAACTAATTTATACCGTAACTTTTAAAGGACATCATATTTCACTGAAATACTACACCTAAGACATCATTTTCAAAAAAATATAGCTTAAAAAGACAATAGAAGAGTGCGAAGGCGTCCCGCGCCGCTGACGTCGCTACCGCGCCATGTTCCTAAAACCATCTCTTAAAACGAGTTTTCGGTAAGAAACGTTAAGATCACATGCCTGAAATTGAAAAACACACTTCAAAGTATCTTAAAATATGATCCATTGTTACTTACACTTCAGAAAAGGTCAAAATAAAACCGGGAGCACTACGTTGCATCCACACACCCACGACGCCGGCGCGAAATGGCGGGAACCGGAAATCGTGGCTAGATGCAAAGTAAAAGAATATTTCTTATAAATGAATTATACAACTAAATAACTCATTTTTTATTTTCTTTTAGACAAAATTATGAAAAAATTACAAAGGCTCGTCGTTAATGATAAACAGAGCAAGTTTTAACAGCACGTTTTTGTTGAATTATGGCGGCGAAATCTTTGTGCCATTCGTAAAGGTACGCGCGACAAACGGCTGATAGCCATGCAGCGAAAAATTGAAGCGGGGAAGTTTTTTGTTTTGACTTGTCAAAAAATCTCGCCGTCATGGGGGTTATTTCCGCCGTAACGGGTCGTCTGAAGGTGGGAATGTCCCAAATTGAATCAAAATATTGATTCTATGCCCATATATGGTCAAAGCTCCGCCCACTAGAATCAATATTTTGATGCCTCCATATTTTGATTCCCGCCGCCTAGTTTGCCCAACTGATATCGCCTCCGCGCGCGGTCGGAAGGTAAAAGTTCGCCGGCTCTAACTAAACAAATAGTCGTCGTATCGCAAATTCATTGACGGCGTTCAAAGCGTCGTTCAATTTACTTTCGAAACATATCCTAACATTACCATTTAATTGCCTAGCGCAATCACCAACAAGCAAAAGTTCTGCGTATCCCTCCTCATGCAGTGTTAGCGGCGGCCGGCCGCCGGCCGCTGACCCACATTCGCGTCATCAGGGAATGCCGCAACTAATTTATTGTTTCCAACTTTTTTCCCGGAGCGTTCTACCTGGTTTATATCAGCCTTGATATAGCCTTGCGATGATCTACATTGACATGCTACAATTTACAAATAAATGCGAAAATGCCTGCGCCGGAAATGTAAGACGTGCGCCAGAATTACAACTAAATTAAAGCAGCAAAAAAGATGCAAATATTTATACAATAAATCGACTTATAAATTAGGCCTCTGAAAAATGAAGACCTAGTCTTGACTGACTTGGCCTTGCCTAATAAATGAACATTACCACACCACACCCTAATAATCTAAAAGCAACTAATTTACAAAATTCAAAATGCTAATATGCATCATACCAGCCTACAACTCTTTAGCTAAATTTTGCTGTGTTTTAAAGTAGTTTCGGTCTTTTACCAAGGCCCTAAATACAGGTTTTACTATTTGTAAGTTTTACATGTGTGAATCAAATCAGTACAAATTCTTAATGTTCTTAATTAATTCTTAATTCTTAATGTTCTTAATTAATTAAGTGCAAATTCTTAATTCCAATCAAACTCAGTCCAGACGATCAAAGGGACTTTTATGGGGATTCCAGATTCTGAGAATTATCATGTCGATGGACGATGACCCTTTCAGCAGCACGGCATGTGCGTGTATCAATTTAAATTTGTGCATGTCTACCTTCAAATTGATGCAGCACAGTTTATCTCATCTCCAGTGAACGCACTGTAAAGTATGTATTAATGGTATTTGGTATATACATAGCAGGTCATACCTATTATATAGGGCCTTGGGGGCCCTATAGAGTTGTGGGCCGTGGGGGACTTATATTTTTATCCTTTGACCTTTTGTGCTAAATATTTTGAATTTTGGCATGTTGATTTCGATTACCATGCTGACATGAAGAAGCTGTTTCCAGTCATTAAAAAGTTATTTGAAATAGGCCTGTATTGCTGCTAGCTGAATTATGAAACACACAATTTCATTTTTATCTTAATTTTTGTAATTAAGTGACTTGTGAAAATATTAAAGCTTGGGTTATTTCTGTTAAAAGGAAATGTTGACTAATCTGAATCCCTTTCACAGCTCATCAGTTCTATTACAACAGATATCTGTGATGCTGGCAAATAGCAATGGTAAGTTCTTGAACTTTTGGCTAAAACCACTACTTTGATTTATAAAAGATAAGTACATTGTGTCGCCATCCCCATAAGCTATTGATCTGTGTTTTTACTTTAGTTTTTGCCAATATTCCTTTCAATAGTTATCTTTCTTCACCATGCATCTCGAATTGGGGCAGTATCTGTCTCATAAGTTTACAAAGAATCAAGACATATTAAGGTTGTACATGATTCAATCTTGTCTTTGAAATGGATGTCTGTGAAGTTAGCCACTGCCAACATCCAACACAACACAATTTGCAATGTTGAGCTATAGCCATAAAGCTGGGTTGTAGGTCAAATGTAACATGCTTGTGTGATGAATACCACTCTTAGAATTCCATTAAAAGAATTGACTCCCCCCCAAAAAAGCTTAAAAAATGAGAGTGTAGGTACCTTTTTCGTGAAAAAGGTGAATTGCACGGTGTTACAAATGGTTCCAAATGAAAGCACGGCCAAAAATGCAGGTGGGTCATTTTTCTTATTTTTAACTTAAGGGACACTTGTCCCTATAAAAATCAAAAGCCCTAAAAATTACAGTGCACCTTTTTCGGGAAAATGGTGCATTGCATGGCGTTGCAACTGGTCACATATGAAAGAACGCCCTAAAATGCAGGTGGTTCATCTTTTTGATTTTTTATTTATGGGACCCACCCTTGTCCATTAAAAAATATAAAAAAAACATTCAAAAATGGCAAAGTTTACCTTTTTCCGGGAAAACGGTGCATTGCACGCCGCTATAAATGGTTCCAATTAAAAAAAAAACGCCCTAAATTGCAGGTGGAGCATCTTTTCGATTTTTTATTTAACCCTAGCATGTGTACGGAGGGGGGTCGGATGGACCCCCATGGTTTTTCGAGAATAACTCGCGCAAAAAGCGGCCGATCCCGACGAAACTTTCAGTACCCTCGAGTTGATCAATTTTACACCTACTCTGAAAATGTCATGACCCTGACCCAAGTGACCTTTGACCTGTGACCTATTTCTCGAGGCCATGTTCGGCCGGAATCGCGATTCGGCGTATGTCGGCTCGCATTAACCACGCGTTTGCAGTTTTTTTGTGGTTTGAAGCGTTCAAACATGGGATATGATGTTGCTCCCATGCATTAGGGTGGGAGAGTGTCGAGGTCACCTGAAGGTCAGGCTGGGTCATTGACCCTTGATGACCTCGGCTCACTTTTTCGAGTTTCACAGGTTTCTTGGCTAGTTTTTGGAGCTGAATTCGAATTTAGCAACCATTTGAACATTTACCTAGTAGTTTTGGTGCATTCGTAACATGTTACGAAGCTGTCAGAAGCGGTGACTTGACACCTACTGGGACATTCCACGATAGATCGACCAAAGCCGTACACCCTCATATGTTATGTTCTGCTTAAAATTGGTGTACCTAATGCCATGGGTTATGATGGGAGGGGAAGCCAGCTGTGGCAAGGAATTTTTTTCTTCGAACAACGGTTTCCGAGATCATAGGCGCGGGAACTGGGGGGGGGGGGGCAGTGGGGGTAGCTTGCCCCCCCTCCAACTCTGGGGCCGTAGGGGCGTTGCCCCCACAACTTTGAGACGGAATATCGCACTTTTCTGCAAATGTTTTCTTTTTTGATGAAAAAGCCAAGGGATGAAAAATAAGTGGCCTAAAACCGGTGAGAAAACTAGATTTGGGGGTACCCTAGGTTGATCTCTATTATGATGTGCCCTCCCCCACCCCCCACCCCAGTCTGAAAGTAGTTCCCGCGCCCCTGTCCGAGATATAGCCTCGGGCAATTTCTGGAGGTCACGCTGCAACCCTATGTTTGGTGGCCTATAACTCAGAAACTATTGATTTTCTATGAGGAAAACTTTATATTGTTCAACTCGCAATCAACCAATGAACATTTTGGCTTTCTCGGTTTTTTAATTTTGAAAATTTGATCACGTGACCTCTTGACCTTTTTTTTGAAGAGTGACCTTGATATTTTCCCCACCGAAAGTTGCATTTTTGTCTGAGACGATTAAAGCCTTACCAGTTTTCTTTCATATGCGACAATAAAAAAGTGGCTCTCGGCCTGCGTTGACCTCAGTTCAGGTCGTTTTGTGACCTACCCTTTATAAGTCAATGGCAGATATATCGGCTACCACCGAAATGCATCTTACCCGTTCAAATACTTTTGAATCATGTTGAGTTAGGCTATTATTGATAGCATTGGTGCAGCTTTGCATCAGTGACCCGCTGAAAGGTCATCCGGGGTCACCCGTTGAACACAGGACAATAATTTAACTCTTTTGACTGTATCTTTTGATCTTTTAGAGCGAGAGACATGGAACAGGCACCATTGTGTTTGCCTTGGCCTAGCGCCAGTTCGCTTTAACCCGCGCACCGACGGAGGGGGGCGGATATCCGCCCCCCTGAGGTTTTTCGCGAATAGCGGGAAAACCCTTTCGCGCCGCGAAATTTGGTACGACTATTCTCTCATCAATTTTACACATGGTGTGCAAGTTTGAACCTCCTAACATTTAAGCTCAGGTCACCAGGTCACTTTGAATGACCCAACCTCAAGTCACTTTTTTGCAACTTTGTCACCGTGCCAGAGCTACAGTAGATGTCGGAGGCCTTTGAAAGTCGCAGGATGTTATTAGGTCATTAGTAGCTACAATTTGTATATCTCGGAATTTTGATGTCGGTGACCTAAGGTCAGGTCAATTTCGCGACCTCCCCATTATAAGTCAATGGGGGAAAAATCAACTCCCTGTTTTTACCACTAAAACGGGTCGGAATGGCCCCATATACCATACATGACTTCATATACGAGGAACCTTCACTACCTTGAGGTCTGTTTTGCTGTTGGGCAGCTGTAAGGTCATGTGACGTCATCAAAGGTCACCAAAGGTTTTTTGCCAATAACTCCGTACAGGAACAAGATACAGCCGCGCGGATGGTCTCATTGTGCTCAGCTCGTCAAGACGCATCGAATGATATACATGATGACCTCGAGGTCACATGACCTGAGGTCAACCTTTGACCTTGACCTTTCGAGGTCAACATATATATCGTTCGATGCGAATTGACGAGAGAATCACGATGATGCCCTTAGTTTGTTCCTATCTTGACTAATTCGAAAGTTATTCGAGAAAAACTCTCCATATCTAGCGCCGCCATTTTGACTTTTTCGACCCCTGTGACGTCATCTTTGACCTGACCTGAAAATGACCTTAGTAAAAATTGTAGACCTTGTCCGTGTGTATCCGATGCCGTTTACCGCTTGTCGCTATCTTGCTTCGTTCTCGAAATCTCGGGGGGGGGGCGGTCATCCGCCCCCCCCCCCCCGTCGGTGCGAAGTTGGCGCAGACCCCCGTCGGTGCGCGGGTTAAATTTCGACATCGATGACCTAAAGTCAGGTCAATTTCTTGACCACCCCACTTAAAGTCAATGGGGCATAAATCGGCTACCTTATTTTTACATTAAAACGCTTCGGAATTGCCCAATATACCTTGAGTGACTTTATATACGATCAACTTTGAATACCTTGAGGCCTTTTTTGCTCTTGGGCAGCTATAAGGTCATGTAAGGTCATCAAAGGTCACCAATGTTTTTTTTTTTGCTAATAACTCCTTATAGGCTCGAGATACAGCTGTGCGGATGGGCTCATTGTGTTCAGCTCGTCAAGGCGCATCGAATGATACACATGATGATCTTAAGGTCACGTGACCTGAGGTCAACTTTTGACCTTGTCCTTTCGAGATCCACATATCTTAAGGTCATGTATCTTATACATGTTTCGATACGGGTCGACGAGAGGATCACGATGGTGCTATTTATTAGTTTATTCCTTGCTGGGATGCATCGAAAGTTATTCGAGAAAAAAAAAACTATAGCGCCGCTATTTTGACATTTTTAGCCCTGTAACGTCATCTTTGGCCTGACCTGAAAATGACCTTTGTAAAAATTGTAGACTTTGTCCGTGTGTACCCTATGCCGTTTACCGCTTGTCGCTATCTTGCTTTGTTCTCGAGGTCTCTCTGTCGCTCCCGCTGGTAATAATGGGCAGGCCACAAAAATGACCTGACCTGAGGTCAACGTTGGCCGAAAGCCATTTTTTTTATTATCGCATATGAATGGCATTTGACAAGGTTGTCATCAGACAAAATTGCAACTTTCAGTGGGGAAAATATCAAGGTCACTCTTCGAAAAATAGGTCAAGAGGTCACGTAATTAAAATTTTTATAAATTGAAAGTCCGAGATAGCCAAAATCAGTGTACCATTTTTCAGAATTTTTGGTGGCAACTCACACCAGATGGGGAAAATATTTTCATCCCTAAAATATGAATGACTGACTTTACTTCATCTCTGAATAAGGTTTCATGTATTCGAACAGCCAGTTTACATGTCACTTGACAGTTGATGGATTCACATCCTTTTGTTTCACACCCTGTCAAGATCCTGACATGAAATCCTGGTTTATCAGTTGACATAAAAATTAGCATTACCTCCACCATTTTTCAAAAATAGTTCAGTTATTTACTTTCTTTTTTCTCATCCTAGGATTTTTTTTCATCAGCACACCCAACCAAAATCCAATTTTAGAACACTGGCCAAAATGTTCATTGGCTGATTGCGAGTTGAACGATATAAAGTATTTCTCATAGAAAACCAATAGTTTCTGAGTTATAAGCCGCCAAACATAGGGTTGCAGCGTGACCTCCAGAAATTAGCCGAGGCTATATTTCGGAAACTGTTGTTCGAAGAAAAAAAATCCTTGCCACAGTTGGCTTCCCCGCCCATCACAACCCCATAGACCAGTTTTAACGAAAAATAGAATATGTGGATTTTGGGTGTCAATTTTTTTTTGTCGATCTATCGTGGACTACCCGGCAAAATCCTTACTGGATGACCTGGCCTGACCTGATCCGACCCGACCTGGCCTAAATAGCATGAATACATTATCTGTGATCAAAACTAACATGATATGCGTGATCAGCAGTCAGCACCCCGATAAACCCT